ATCTCTCTCTCTCTCTCTCTCTCGCCCTCTCTCTCTCTGGCCTTCTTTCGCATGGCACAGGGAGCATGCCCCCTGCGTGGGGTGCTCCCATTTTGTTGGCGGTGGCGATGTTCGCCCGTGCGGAGAGGTTGAACAATAACTGTATGTAACTCAGAGTCAAGCACCACATGTACGAGCAGGAGGCTGTCCCGTAATATAAGTACATCCTCCGCAGGTGATTACACCCGACAAGTGGTGATCCAGCTTTGATTTGCTTGCTTGCTCTCTCTTCTTCCACTCGGCCAAAGTACAGCACCCAGATTAACTCACTCACTCAGTCTTGCTTGCTTGCTTGCGGGGCGTTTCGTGCGTGGAGTTCCCCCCCACTGCCCCTGCGCACTCGCGCTACAGTACACCACTGTCCGGTGTTCTGTGGTCGGTGTGAAACTGCCGAAGGCTGTCAACACTGTGGAGGACCAAACCCAACCCCTCAACAACAAGACCCTGCCCTTTGCTATGCACTTGCCAACACGCTGACATCCCCGCCTGGTCCTCTGATTTTGTGCTGACCCCTTCTTTGTGGTGCTACTGTTTGCCGAGTCCCTATCGTTGTAGGGTGCCGCAGGCTAGTGTAACGATGGAGTCCCCGCACGTGGTGTACTGAACAGGCTTACACAGCGACAACACATTCGACACAAAGATATGAGCTAGGCAGCTAGCTGGAACAGGCCGCGGGGTCCCCTTACTTCCTGACTGCATGTTTGTGTACTCACTCAGTCTCTCACTCTCTCTGCCTCTCTGCGTCTCTTTCTCGCCTCTTTCTTGGCGGCGTGCACCCTGCAGTTTTGGCCTCGTCGGCGTCCAGTGGCCAACTACGCAGTGAGATGAATGCTCTGGCTGGTATTCGAGGGCGAAGTGAACTGAAAGGAAATTCATGGCACCGAGTTTTGCGGTAGTCCGCATGTGTTTTTCAAAGGGTGCCATTGCATCACGAGACAAGCCCACAAGCTCCTGTGCACCCATCGGACTCAGCTGGCTTACACGCGTTCACTCCCAGCTCTCTTGCTTCCGGGCTTGCTGGGAGTGTGAGGGCATGAGGCCCCCCTGGCCCGAAGCTGCATGGCTCAACTGCCACAGCTTTGCTTGCTTCAGGCTAAAGGACAGGGTCCCCGTATCCCTGCGAGGGGGGGCCTATGTGTCCTGCCTACTGCGCAGAAGGTCGGTGTGCAACATCCGCGCGGGTGCTGACGCCTTTACACTGGCCTCCAAGCCTAACCATCCCCCTCTTCCTCTCTCGCTCGGGCGTAGGGGCCAGTCAAAGCCCCCGGACAAAAATGCCCACCCGATTGTTTTAATCGGGCAAGGGGAGTGAAGAGTGTAGACTTTCCGAAGACTCACAGCATCCCCCTCTCCCTCTCTCTCTCCTCCCCTATATCTCTGTCAGTCCTTCTCTCGAGCTTCAATTCACAGGATCTTAAGCCCACAACCTCCGACGCCTTCTGCTCCTGATTCCAGCCAGGAGGCGCTTCTGCCCCGGCCAAGGCGGCCTTCTTGGGCCCCACCATCTTCGCTACCTGCCATGCAAGAAGCTTTAAGGTCTCCACTTCCGGAAATGGGTGCCGACCCTTGCGAAACAGCTGGGACTCTTCAGCCATTAGGTGTATCAGTGTGTTGGGCGCAGCATCCTTTTTTTCGGCCGTCCTGCCAAAAAATAGACCGGAGCACCAACCAACAGGTCCACATTCGCGGTCGCATCGTGTTGGACTTTTTTCGCGTTCTGTCGCCTTAAAGCTCTCAAAGACATATGATATAAGCCACATACAGCCAGCGGCCTTGACGTCACCTGATCAAGTTTCGCTCCCAGGCGTGGCACCCGAGAAATCCTCATGCTTGGAAACAAAATGTGTACTCAAGCTAAGGGCTCTCATTGATGTTGCGTACCCATGCTCCTCATGCCCCACAGCTCAGGCAGAATTTGTCTGCTTTCGCAAGTATTCACCGCGGCATCCCGTCGAGCATCTTGTGAAGGCCTGCCTTCCGGCCATACCACTGCCAGCAGGCGTGGAGAAGAGGCGACCGAATATGACGACAGTCGCGCATCTTCTCGGCATTGTAAAGAGTGATTTGGCCAAAGCCCGCTCATCTCACATCTCATGGTCAGAAACTGTTTTCCGGTAGCACACGCGCGTCACCTCGCCATTGTACTGGAAACTGCTGTTGGGGTGGCTGCGGGCTGCAAAGCTTTACCAGGGTTTCCAGCAATAGCATGGGATCTGCCTGTCCCTTGGCAGCTTGCTGACTCCGGATCGCTCCAGACATCCTAAGACCCGGTGAAGGTCTGCCCAGGCGTTGACAAAATTTAAGAAAACATGTCCAACGTCTAACAAGCAGTACTATGCCACTACGTTCCCTTTCGGGCAGCTCGAAACACAAGCCTCCTCACCTTTCAATCTTGCACTTGGCAAGTTGTTCCTCCAAATCTACACGTGCAAAGCTCTGCAACATTCATGACTGTTAACTCAACAGCTTCCAGGCTGAAGCGCGATCTTTGGAGATTGGCAATCGTGGACAATCAGCAAAAGTCAGACAGCTTTTTTTTCAAGTACGCTTGGTCTGCCAGGCATGAGTTCGTCGCTAAGAACCTCTGCACTACCGCTTGGGTTTATGTAGGGGGGTGACTGGGTCGAGTGCTGCACAGAGTCTAATATCAGTCTACGACAGGTTCCATTCAGGGCCTCATGCCATCTGAGAGATTGCCGACATTACGGCATGCTACGGTCTCACTGCAGCAGACCTGCATGATCCATCCGTCGTTCTGGGTTAGCATGGGTTAGCGGGTGTACCGGGCTGCAACTTGACATGTTCTGACACTGTATCGGTGTTGCACTCTTGGCTGGGTCATGCAAGGCCTGGGCCTGGATTAGCTAAGGCGTGGCCAAGGCTGCCGGTAATCAGAACCGGCTACGCCGGCTCAAGGTCGTGGTCTCCTCTCTGTGTTGCTATCAAGGAAAAAGGCTTCGAATTCTGACGAAGTATGCAAAGTGGAGCAAACACTGATGGGAAGACTGCGCTTGGCAGAGTATGTCGACTTCCAGAGTTGCGCTTTTTGCAACTCAGCGTGGCCATGTCTGTTTAACAGCGATGGCATTCAGAAAAGTGCCGGGGGCTCGACAAGTGGCAAAGCCGCATCGCGGGTGCGAAGACGTCCCACGAAGCACGGCACATCTGAGTCTTGACTAGAGGACCTGTATAAAGTCGTTCTGCCCAGGCACCTGCAGAAGTCGCACAGTTCCAGTGACTGTGCCGCATCCTGCGAATTCCTCCGAATATTTGGGTCCCAAGATATGACGCTTCAAAACAGCCGATTAGGACACTAACAATATCAAGGGGCGTAACTAGGGGTAATTTTAGCAACAGCATCAAGTTTGTAGACTGCACGCTCATCTCATGAATCTCGCCTGCCCCTCCGGCTCTCAGTGCGAAGGATAACTGTTGCCACGATTCTGGCAGACACCTTCTATCTTGAGACCCTCAAATGATGCTCGTTGGCACGGTGAGCGGTGCTCCCTGCTCCTTGTCCTCACCCTGCACACACCACAGGTTCTGCTACAATACAGTGTCACGCGTAGAAGTTCCGAGACAAAGCCTTTGCGGGAAGTATTCCTCGTTGCGCTGAGTGGGCAAGCAAATTGCAACGCCAGGCTGCACCGTCACCGGCTGCCGCATCGTATGCGTATGTGGACATTAGTTACTGCGTTGGTCCAGCGGCCTCTTCTTTAATCCTAGGCATCACAAAGACTTGGCTCGATGAACTATAGTGCCGCATAAGTTCGGCGAGCGAGCCGAGATTGGACCGAATCACATCACAAGACTCCCAATCGGACTTGCACGTCTCACCTTGGCTCAGGTCAACCGAATACTTATCTCCACCACGTGCACAGAGTCGTGCAGCATGGAACAGTGCCCAGATGCCAGCCATAAATGCATGTGACTCTGCCTGAAATACCCTCAAGTCCTGAAGGCCCTAGACACACTAAACCCCTAAACCCTAAGCCCCTAAACCCCTAAAGCCCTAAACCCTAAGCCCCTAAACCGCTAACCGTTAAACCTTGAGCCTCCCCCAATTGCGAACATGCGGCTGGTCATCCTTTGGGGCCAGGTTCCCCAACGCCTGAAACACGAAAATCATGGGGGTTTAGGGTTTCGGGGTTTAGGGGTTTGGGGTTCAGGGTTTAGGTTTTATTGGGTTTAGGGGTTTAGGGGTTTAGGGGTTTCGGGTTTAGGGTTTAGGGGTGCAAAACTGCGTCGGCTTACCCCACACTTCCGGCGCCACGTCCGCGACTGGAAGCAGATATTATGCCAGTCTTGAGACAGTTGTATGAGACGCTTACTTTCACACGACAGAAAGACATGACAGAATTGATTTCCAACCGACCCGCGTCAGCGCAGGCGAATATATCTCAGCACGAAAGGAAGCTTTTTCAGTCTCCATGACTGTTTACTTCGGACATGCTCTAGAATCACCTGATTAGATCAATAGAGGTGTAGGCTTTCGGGCCATTATGGACATTCTGACTAATCTTGATGGTTGCAACTGCCGCAGCTTCATGGCTTTGTGGTTTCGGACAGACCGACAATTCAAGCCACTCCGATACCCGCCTTCACGGCCTTGGCCTTGGACCTGCGATCGCATCGCGTCAGCTGTGTTCTGACATACTCCTGCTGCGCCAGATTGTGTCCAAACGGATGTCGGGTCACAAGGCCCCAACCAAACCTACTTACATGTTACAGAGTTTGACGACCTACAGTTGAAGTTGAGATAAAATGTCGTGGGAAGGTTGGGCAAGACTGACTATGTATTTGTTCCCACATCATTCATGAGTGAGTCCAGGTTGGGTAAGAGCACGCAGTGAAGCCAAGCTTGAACACAGTGACTGCATGAATAGGCTCGGTCATAGAACCCGTGGGAACAGATTCCCATGACCCACCTCCCTGTAGGCATGCGGACCTACATAACACTCTCATGACTCCTTTGGAAAGATGTGCTTCAGGAACTCGTGGTAGTCCAGCGAGTCGTTCTGGTCATCGTCGAAAATCGTGAAAATCTTGAAAGCTTTATCCTTGGCTAGCAAGGCCCGGCAACTCAGATGTACCAACAACCACTGCCCCCCCCTCTCTAGCGAGCATCGCTGCCACCTGAGTGCTGCGAGTCCATGCGACACCATGCATGCTCGACTGCAGGGCAATGCAACCTCAGGCCACATAGCTTCGAAAACTTTGAAAGCCAAAGGTCGAAGCTGATGCCAATCCGCATCTGATGAATCAACTCGAGAAATTCGGCTAAGCTCAGCGTGCCATCCCCATCCTGGAGGGTAGCAAGCGTCTGAGACCACAGTTAGGATAACAGTTAGTAGATATGACTCAAGACTTGAGTTTGTTTAGAGAATTCGAAGGCCACAGGAACGGTAGGATCGAATGAATACTTGGGAGTTTACGTTTGCAAGGCTTCAGGTTTGGCGGCCTGCAAGGCACTAATCACTAACACTACAGGATTCAAGGCTGGGCTCAGGAGGTTTGTGCTGGTTTGGGTCCCGGTGTTTGTTGGGTTTGTGGTCATCACGGCCAATAGGTACCCTCCAGCAGAGTCGATGCCAGTGTCTTCCCTGGATTCTCAACCTTCTATCCACACACCTACGTTTCCAGACAACATACAAGATATACAAGCGTATGTATGTATGTATGTATGTATGTATGCATGTATGCATGTATGTATGTATGTACGTATGTACGTATATTGTATATATACACACATACATACATGTACATACATACATACATACATACATACAGACATACATACATACAGACATACATACATAGTTTTCTACACACACACATATGTATATATATATATAGAGATAGGTACTTACACATATGTGCTCTGATCCCGGGGTGATGGCTCCCTGCCCCATCGTGCCAGCCTGTGGCGTGTGCACGACGGGACGACCCTTGAACTCCGGGTTACGCAATATGCTGTAGGTAGCTGCCAATACCCTGCCATTCGCGTTACCGTTACCATACCACACCATACGAGACCATACCATACCAGTGTACATTGCAGTACATTTCATTGCGTAACATCACATCATTTTGTATGTTTACACACACGTACATACCTACCTACCTACCTACCTACCTACCTACCTACCTACCTACGTACACATACAAAACAACAGACAGACATACATGCATACCAACATACACATGCGTGTTATCTTTGCTTGTGTTTACATATGTGTGTTCACGTGACTGCCTAACCTCAACAGTGTCAACAAAAATGCAGCGCCAAGCACCCCGTGGCCCGCAGGTGTCCAGATACGATGTGCAGGCTTGCTGGAATCCACATGCGGAGCTGCAGGCATCAAAGAGATTCGAAACCCTACCACAAAGGCCGTGGAACTCCTAAAGATTGGGGAAAAAACAGAGACAACTGGAGGTCTTCCAACTAGCAGTTGCAACTTACAAGCGCGACGCAGATCCTCGTCCACATGCTCGAACAAGACCTGGTGCAGGTGGCGGGCCGGCTCCGGTTCGCGAATAGTCTAGGTTTACGGTTTAGGGCTTAGGGTTTAAAGTCTCGGAATAAACGGTTTGAGCTCTTCTATCGGTCTGGGCGGTGGGGAAGAGGTAGCCGAGTGGCTCGAACGTCTTGAGAAGAGTAGCCCCACTTCTCGAGATTCTTCCGCAGCCGCGTGATCAAGAGGACTTGAGAGCGGCTTCGCCAACAATCCATGAACTCGTGGCCGATAATTCCAACAGGTAGCGCAGAGAAAAGCATGCTGGTGAAGGTCAGAAAAGATGCAATGATGTATCCTTCCGTGGTTGTGGGGAAGAAGTCTCCATAGCCCACGGTGGTCATGGTTACAATGGACAGCCACAGTGAGTGCGGCATGCTGGGGATGTTGCTTCTTTCCTCTACGAGAAAAAGGCCCGTAGCAGCTGTGAATGTGATAATGGCAGCAAGGTAGCTGAGAAAGGGCAAAGCCTCCACGGATTTGTACATGGCTTCACTCAGAAGCCTGAAAATCTCGAAGTACCGAAGTAGCTTTGAAAAGCGAACCAGCGGCAGAAAGAAGAGAAGGATGACATCCAAGCTCGTCCAAGTGGTTTTAGGGGACATAAGCAGGAAGCCTGCAGCAGCCCTCAGCGGTAGCCCTGTGGCAGAGAAAAGGTCCGGCCAATTCATGGCATCAACCAGATAGCTCCACTTGGACGGAGCAGAAACGAAGCGACAAAGAAACTCCACCAGGAAGATGGCATCAAATGCAGTCTCAACGGCGGCTGCAATTGTGGCATCTTCCACAAAGGGACTCCTAGGTCTTTCGTTGCGAAAGCCCCCCTTGCAGAAAGTTTGTCGCACTTCTGGCGATGTCGAAAACCAGAAAAAGACGACTAAGAACAACTAACAGCCCAGGCGCTGAGTTGTCTGAAAGAAGCTGAAGGCGACGCAGCTGAACACGAGAATTTTCAGGCACACGCTCACAAACCACGCCCCCCGGCTGGACTCGGGGTCGTCCAGGAACCTCTGCTGTTGAGCTCATGTCATTCACCCCCACACGCACAAATCATGCAAGATGTAGTTCAGAATCCTGCCTGATCGTGACCTTGGCCAGAACTGCCCAAAACAATTCAATTAGTCACAGTGCGCCCTCCCTGCAATAGTTGAACAGTGTGGCAACGGCATGCAAAAGCTGTGAGCCTGCATCGGCGATTGCCAAGCAGCTCCCACAGCCGGTCCATCGGACCCCGTCTCACGAGCCTCAACACAGGTTCGTCCATCTCGTCATCTTCATAGATCTTCCTGCGTCAGAAAGCAACAAAGACAGCAACCTCAATATTTAGCTGCATGTAGTTCTTGATTTGGACTTGCACAGCCCCTGGCAAGCTCGACGAAGCTGCACACAGCGGCAAGGAATGCCGACACTGAAGGCAAGCGTTGGGGCTTGAGGGCTCCCTGCATTTCTCTGCCGAGCATCCTTGTGGAATTAAAATCACGACCACCAGCGCTCAGCTGGAACGCTTTCCTTCCGGCAGTCAGCAGTATTTGGCCGGAAAGCCAAGAACCAAGACTCCCTGCATCGCCAATGCTTCGGTGATGACTACTCGTTGGGATCTGGCTACGGGTGCGGCACCTGGAACTGCCTAACGTCTTCGGGACAAAAAAAACCCCGAACCCCCCAACAAACTCGCAGAGAGCCCAGCCCCAGGGCCCGACTCCCCAAAAAGGCACAGATCACTCCCTGCACAGCTTCGAGGCCTTCAAGGGCCCCCCCCCACCCTAAACCCTAAACCCTAAACCCTACAAACCCTAAACCCTAAACCCCCCCTCCCCCCCCCACCCTTCAAGGGCCTGTTGTTCTTGGAGCGGGTCGAGATGGCCTCGGCCGACCTGGGATTTTTAGCTTCCCTGGGCCTTCGAGAACTCCATGAAAAACCCTAAACCCTGGGTTCGGGGTTTAGGGTTTGGGGTTTAGGAACCCCTAACCCTACAACCCTAAACCCCTGAACCCCTAAACCCTAATCATTAGGGTTTAGGGGTTCAGGGGTTTAGGGGTTCAGGGTTGAATGCCCTAATCCTGATAAGT